CAAAACTGAAAACTTAATTTAAGATTGAAAATGGAGAAAGAAGGACAGCTCTTGGAAATGGAGAGAAAGCATCGGGTTACACTAAAAATGCACCCAACAACTTCGAGGCACTGAGAGAAATGGAAAGGGCGGCTAAAGGAAATTGGAAATGGAGAAGACAACGTTAATTTTCGGCCTACGTAGTTTGGGTAAATCCAATTAATTGTGGGCCCACATATCCCGCCACAATTTTTGGCCCAGTCCAAGATATTTATCGACTACATTTATTTAGTCGGTAAATATTTTCGCGCCATGACCCGCTAAAAATAAATCTTAGTTTGGCCAATTGTTTTTAATTTTTGTCAGCAAATATGTCTCATTTTTGCCTACCAGTACATTTTTGGGCCGGTAAATACTATTTTACCAACTATTTATACATTAGTGGGAAAATTTTGGTCGGTAAAAGACTTATTATTGACTAATTTTATTGGGTCGGTAAATTCTTGGTTGGTAACAATATTGCCAACCAAGTATTTCTATTGGTCATTATAAGAGTGTTTTCACCAACTAGAATTTGGTTGGTCAGAGAAAGGTTGGCCGGGAAAGCTATATTTTCCTGTATACATCATAGTGATCCTCCTATTTGACTATTTCGACCATTTTTGAGCACCTTATAGTATTTTCGAGGCTTACGAATATTCTATTGTATCCCCATAATTTTAATTCACTATGCGTAGAGACACTATTGCTAAGATAATAATCTTTATGAGAATAGATAGAAGAAATCTCGATATCTCAATATAGTAGAATGTAGGTCAAATCTATGTAAATACAGAATAAGTATCTAAACAATTTTTCATTATTTCAAAACCCCATGAAATACGCACACATACATGTGGCATATTGACATAGTTATAGGGGATAGTATGAGAAACTGAAAATCGCCTGCAAATGCAAAAGCTCTGACTTAGTTTACCTTCAAGAATCCAATGAATTAAAACTTTAACATTAATAATATTTTAAGTAAGGGAGGTTGTGTATTTATTGAAAACAATTAAGATTTCATGTGAGATATCAGTTATTCAAACTTGAAACAAGAAAGGTTTTTGTAATTTTTTAACACAGATGATTTCTCTAAACTTGTTGAAATCCTAATTTTACAGCACTTGTTCTCGTCATGCAGCTTTCTCTAAGAGTGCGTTGCTAGGAATGGCTCAGTGTTGGGTGGCATGCAATTTTTGGCTCCAATTTTCTCATTTCACTAATTTATTATTTTCTACCTATCTTATTTATTTTACTGTGATGTAAATTAAAAACAGAAAACAATTAAAAATAAGAGTTGACACAGGGATTTGTTTTCAGATATAAATTAAATTTAGAAACTAAAAAATGTAAAAAAACAAGAGTCAAGGAAGGTTTGGATTTTTAATTACGATATAAGTGTAAGGACATAAAAATAAAGATAGGTTGACGGGGAATGGGTCCTAGCCTCGATTTCCCAATCCTCTACGTCGACGCCACCCACTATTAGGATATTCGTGTTAAAACAAAAGTTTTGAGAAAGCTTTATAAATTCAATTTATTTATTTAGTTACTATTTTAATTTAATTTGTGTTAGTTATAATATAAAATAATATTAGTATAAACTATTATATTTTTCCAACTCTTTTACGTTATGTTATTATTTCATTTTAACGGTAGCTACAATGTTGAATTACAAAGAGTAGTATATATACTTGGGTTTCAAGAATAAATTTAACAAATTCATATGACCTGGCAAGCCAATCTTGCGAAACAACAATACATAGTAAACCTAAGTTAAAACAAGAAGAAAACTTCTTTGCCTAGAAAAACCTTACTAGTAGTAATGCATGAAATGTACAAAATACATAAAAACAATTCATTTCTTTTACCCAGACATCACTCATTTGAAGGTGGTCGGTGCACTAGCATATCAGAAACATTGTACATAGTTGGCCGATGTTGTGGATTGGAGTGCAGGCATTCAATTGCAAGTTTAACAACGGACATCAAAATAACTTCTTCTTCTCGAGTGGGATAAAGAATGCGCGGATCCAACAGATCTTCCATCCGTAAATCTCCATTTGATAGAGTTGTTAAGTATTGAATGTATTCACTAGGATGCTTTCCTTTGATCACTTCCAATGCTAACACTCCAAAGCTATACACATCGCACTTTTCAGTAACCTTCATTGTGTATGCAAGTTCTGCCCATAAAATAGGGAAAGAATACAATCAAAATCATGTATACATATTCCGTGAATGAAATTAAGGAAAAAAAATATTACCAGGAGCGAAATAACCATATGTGCCTGCAAGAGAGCTGAAATTCGATGAATCGCATTTTAGAAACTTAGCAGTACCAAAATCTGAAACATGAGCCTCGTACTGTGAATCAAGCAAAATGTTGTTGCTGGATATGTCTCGATGAACAATTGGAGGAGAACAACTATGATGTATGTAAGATAAAGCATGAGCTACGCCCTTCAAGATATTAACCCTTTTAGGCCAATCCAATTTCTTAGCTTCTTCATCGATGCTTAGGGTTTTTGCCAAACTACCTCTATCAAGGTATTCATAGACCAAAAGTGAGTTTTGATCATTTGAGCAGAAGCCATAAAGTTTCACAATGTTCCGATGCCTGATTTCTGTCAATGCTCTTATTTCACTCAGGAAAGCTTCAAAGTTTGCCGTTTCAGATGATAAATGAAGTCTTTTGATTGCTACTGTAAGCATTTCAAATGAGGAATGAAGTCTTTTCCCTTCTATTATTTTTTCTAATGAAAGTTGTGCCTTGTAAACCTTTCCACACCCTCCCTTTCCAATACAAAAAGCTGGATCAAATCCATTTGTGGCCTCTAAGATGTCTTTATACCTGAGTTTTCCATCGAGTATGGTGAGCAAATCATCATCTACTGTCATTGGATTCATCTTTCTGCATTTATACATGATGAGGATCCCGATGAATGTAAATAGAAGTAAAGCACAAAGAAGAGGGGTAGCAATTGTCAAAATGAGCTTGTGCTCACTCCACATCTTGTTTTTAACTCTAGATGGGCTTTTACATAGTCGTAATCCTACAATATTGCCACACAATCCTTTGTTCCTTGTAGTTGTTCTATAGAGACATTTTGAAAGGCTCTGCCGCTAGGAACTGGACCCTCCAACTGATTATAGGATATATCAATGTCCATTGAGCCTGGCATTTCTTCAAAACTCTTAGGAATGAGTCCTAAGAGGTGATTGTGGGAGAGGTTTAACAGTTCTAGGCTTGTCAAAAATCGTAGTTCAGATGGTATTTCTCCGGTGAGTAGATTATTACTCATATCCATCTCAGATAGATGGATTAACTTACCAAGCTGATGAGGGATTCTCTGGCTTAAATAGTTGAAGCTCAAATTCAAGTAATGCAACTGCTCAGAGTTCACTAAATTTCCATGTATCTGACCTGTCAGTTCGTTTCTAGAAAGGTCTAGGTTTTCTAGACGTGAAAGTGATCCCAATTCTTCAGGTATACCTCCGGAAAGTTGGTTATCCTCTAAATATAGATTTAGAAGTAAAGTTAACTTTCCAATTTCCTTCGAGATCTCCCCACGTAACTTGTTTGAAGAAAGATCGATTACTTGCAGTTGACTTAAACTTCCAAATTCTGGAGGAACACTCCCTGTAAGGTTATTCTTTGCAATTTTCAGAGCTTGTAGTTGTTTGTTACGACCCCAGACGTTCGTGAGTTCACCATAGAAATTATTGCTACTTAGGTCCATGAAGGTCAAATTTGGATATACACCAAATTCTTCGGAAATATTTCTGAAAAGCTGGTTGTGATCAATCCGGAGTCTAACTAAACTGGAGCATTTTCTCAGGCTTTCAGGGATTGGTCCTGAAAGTCTATCGGAGCTCACTGAAAATATTTCTAATACTCTTCCACCACAAAATTCTGGCAAATCACCTGAAAAATGATTAGAGAACATAGTCACATTGATCAATTTCTTCAATTTCCCTAGTTCACTTGGAATAGAACCAGAGAGTTGGTTTCGAGATAGACTAAAAAATTTTAAATGGCTGAGGTTCTCAAATGGAACCAGGATTTTACCTATGAGATAATTAGTACCCAATCCTAGCTTCTGGAGTGATGTCAACTTTCCCAACTCGGGAGGGATGGGACCAGAAAGTTGATTATCACAGAGATACAGAATTCTTAAACTAGTTAATCCACTCAACGAAGTAGGAATTTGACCTGTGAGATTATTCATGCTCAATTCTAGGTCCTGGAGTGATGTCAACTTTCCCAACTCGGGAGGGATGGGACCAGAAAGTTGATTAGTATGGAGATACAGAGTTCTTAAACTAGTTAATCCACTTAACGAAGTTGGAATTTGACCCGCGAGATGATTGGTGCCAAGTGTGAGGTCCTGGAGTGATGTCAACTTTCCCAACTCGGGAGGGATGGGACCAGAAAGTTGATTAGTATGGAGATACAGAGTTCTTAAACTAGTTAATCCACTTAACGAAGTTGGAATTTGACCCGCGAGATGATTGGTGCCAAGTGTGAGGTCCTGGAGTGATGTCAACTTTCCCAACTCGGGAGGGATGGGACCAGAAAGTTGATTCTCATAGAGATACAGAGTTCTTAAATTAGTTAATCCACTCAACAAAGTAGGAATTTGACCTGTGAGATTATTCGTGCTCAATTCTAGGTCCTGCAGTGATGTCAACTTTCCCAACTCGGGAGGGATGGGACCAGAAAGTTGATTAGTATGGAGATACAGAGTTCTTAAAGCAGTTAATGCTCTCAACGAAGTAGGAATTTGACCTGTGAGATTATTCGTGCTCAATTCTAGGTCCTGGAGTGATGTCAACTTTCCCAACTCGGGAGGAATGGGACCAGAAAGTTGATTAGTATGGAGATACAAAGTTCTTAAACTAGTTAATCCACTTAACGAAGTTGGAATTTGACTTGTAAATTGATTGTTTGATAAATCAAGATAGTTGAGTTTGGAGAGTTTACCTATTTGTGCTGGAACAGTTCCTGTAAACTAATTGGTTGATAAATCAAGATAGACAAGTTTGGAGAGTTTACCAATTTGAGGTGGAATGGTGCCAAAAAGATGGTTGATTGAGAGATCTATATAAGCGAGACTTGGGAACGATGAGAATGGAAACTCATAGAAGAAGGCATGAATGCTTGCATTTGTGAGGTTCAGCCTATTAACACTTCCATCAATGCAATAAACTCCAAA